CAAGATTTTTAGGACACATAAATCAGAATTGTTAACTATTTTAAATATGAAGTAAAATGCACAGCATGAAGGGAATGACTTTTTAAACACAAGTTATCCAGAGTTAAGGGAAAGATTAGAATAAGGCTTCCTGCAGAATTGCTGGATTCTGCTTTCTCTGCCAGGCAAGATAACACCACACCCCATCTGTCACACCCGCACTCATTTCTGCCAGGTTTTCTGCCTTCAGCTTGCCTTCGATGACAGCAGTGAGTATCCGAGGGTGACTTTGCACACAGGCTCAGGAGTTTACACGGCTTTCTTTTTAGTGGCCTGGTTCATTGGTAGCCAGTGTCATCCCTGAAGAAACCTTTTCCAGTGCGCCGTGTGCAGCAAATGAAAAGAAGCCGGCAGTTCATGCACACCATCTCTCAGGTGTTCTCCAAATGTCGTTCTTGTCAGGTCTCTGTAAGAACTGCCCGGACATGGGAGTGGTCTAACTGGCTTCTCAGTGAGAAATCTCCAGCTCCAGTGGGAGCTGCGGGACTCACTGAGGTGAGCAGGGAGCAGTGACCCAGAGCCAGAGCCCACACATCTGTGTGGATCGTGCAGCCACGGTCATGCCAGTCACAGTCTGGGTGGCTCAGGGTCCCTCTGTCTTGAACGTTGATATGGCTTTGTTTCAGTTCTCTTAAAAACAGCCCACAGCCTCCTTTGGAATAACTGAAGGAAGAGATGTACCAGCAGCCTGGCGTGTGCTGCCTTACAGCTTTTTGCCTGTGAGCCCACATTCTGAGGCAGTTGGTATTCGGGGCAGTAAAGTAACTCTTCTCCCTCAGCAGTGTCTTGGCTGTCTGGAAGTTGCAGGCAAAGCCCGGGTTTCACGAGCCTACAGCCAGTGCAGCTGTCCTTTGGGCACAGTTACCAGATCTCCTCGGAGCTGTGATCCGGCTCAAGGTACGAGTCTGGTCCTGTCACTGAAAGGGTCTGTCTGCACAGAGGCAGTGAGGGGAATTTTAAGGTAAAAGAGATAAATCAAACACCTCACTTTTTGAGCAACTTAACCATAAGCAGAGAGGATAAACAAAGAAGACACCAGTCAGTTGCTAATGGTGGAAAAGACAGTTTCAGTTTCCATAGCAATTCATTTCTTCTCAGGTTGCTAAATTATGATCATTGAAATTAAGATAAAATCAGAGTTTTAAGAGCTTGAGTCTCGATGGTTCATTATATATAAACCAGAAACAAAGTATGACTGAAGTCTATAATAATCTCATTATAAGTGAATTAAAGTCTGAGTGATTCACACCTAACAGCTGCTTACTGAGATGATTTTCATTTTTTGAGAAAAGAAATGAAGTCCCAATGAAGTGATTGGCTAGGAGTGAAGTATCGAAAGAAACAAATAAGGAATTTCCTGGACAAACTTAGATTGGAGTATCTCCTGATATTTACGTTTTGTTCTTTCAGGCTTGGGCCAGCTTCTGAGTCCATGACTGATATGGATCTTGCCACACAGTCCTGTGACTCCTACAGTGTGCACAGTGGGACATGGGGCTGCAGCCCTGCGTGTCCGCAGTCTAAAACTTCCACTACCCCTTACCTGGGACTAAAGTTTCTGATGTTCTTCATCTCCAGAGGTGGATTTTAATTTACTTAAATTGATGGAACCCACTCAGCTGTTCCACATTAACAAGCTTTAACAATAAGCAAGAAGGAAAGAGGGGGGAAAAGTACAAACTAATTATCAGATGAGGCTTTGTGCCTAGGCCTATAAATGCCTTGGATGAAGAAGTTCACACTTGGCAGCAATTAAATCCTTGGAATGGAACAGTCACTCTGCTACTAAAGAACAATTTATTTCCAAATGCAATGAATTCATGTTTTTGATGAGTTTTTCGGCGCTGAAGTCCTTTCACATTGCGTCTTACTGATGTGTGTTTCTCTTGGACACGTGCCAGCGTGTGCCTAGGTTTGCTTTACTGGAAGTGGATTTACCAGAATTGAGAAGCAGCTGATAAACTGATAGAGTATCAGTAAGATGCAGTTAAGCCCCAGGCCAACCCTTTGCTCAGCTTTCCAGAGTTTTAGTTTAACATTAGTATATCACTGCAAGCAAATCTTACTCTTTTTTATTGCTTTATAAACTTTGGAGTTAATCAAACCCAGATCCCTAGCATTCTCTTTTCTGTATATGTAGCTTTGAGCCTCATTTTCTTTCCTGTCCTCATTTTTTCTCATCAGTTAAATGGGAATGTGAAATCTTTGCAGAGTTCTTGGAAGATTAGAAATAATATCCTAACACTTGGTCAGAGATTTACAGTAGGCACCAAGTATAGACAGAGAATAGAATTTCCAGTTATTGTCCACAGTTATTGTCTGCCAATAATGAGCAGCACCCTGCCAAACTTAAGCGTTACCACTTTAACATCAGATTTCAGACAAATTAAGCTGTCAGTTAAAATGTAATATGATATAGTAAGGGGATGATAGTTTAGGGGCATAAATTATTTGTAAATCAATATTACGTGCTGGATAATTGGGGAGTATACTTTGGAAAATATAACAAATATTTCTTCTTAGGTTTTTTTTTAATTTTATTTTTTGTTTGTTTGTTAGTCTTTGTCTTTCCTAAAGAAGTTTTTAAATCAATGTTTTACATTATATGCTATACCTCCTATTTCCACAGATAATTGTAGACTCTCCTGAAGTATTTAATACTTTAAAGCATCTGGGGGAAAGCTCACTTAAATTACTGAAGGGGGTATTTTCTGTTTTCTTTGTAAGCTATGTCTCCCTCGCTGTCACTGAGTAGAGCCTCTGGCTGTTGATCAGAACTGCAGGCACTCCATGCAAAAGGAAACTGGCCCCATGAGAGGGCCAGAGGCTTACAAGGAAGAAGAGCAAACTCTGCAACCCTGATCTTCAAACTGCTAATTTAGGATCTACATTATGTCTCTCATGGACACAAATTTAGAAAAGGAAAATAGAAAGAAGATGGGAAACAGTAGCATTGTCCAGTGATTGACACCAACTCCATCACTCTATCTTTTCTGTTTAAAACCTTCCTTGCTTCCCTTTTGCCTAACACAAAATTCAAAACTGGGAGATATTTGTACCATATTCCCCATGTCAACCCCATTCCAACAGAAACAGAACTGCTCAAAAATGTGCCAATATAACAAATCTTTTATGTCACTATGTCTTTCTTCAAGTTCCACAGTCTGGGTGGCTCAGGGTCCCTCTGTCTTGAAGGCTGACATGGCTTTGTGTCTGTTCTCTTAAAAACAGCCTACAGGGCCGGGGATTTATCTCAGTGGTTCTGCCACCTGCCTTGCAAGCACAAGGACCCAAGTTTGATCCCTAGTACCAAAAAACAGCCCATGGTCTCCTCTGGAATAACTGAAAGGAGAGATGTGTGAGCAGCCTGGCGTGTGCTGCTTTACAGCTCTTTGCCTGTGAGCCCACATTTTATTTTGAGGCAGTATCTTCTTATACTCACTTCAATATTTACATTTTTATGTCTGTTAGCACTTAACTGACATGTCAGATCCTTACATAATGCCTACAATACACTAGGCACTGTATGATGTCATTTACAATTATTAATTGAGCTAACCTTCATACTAATCTCGGGAAATAAATATTGCCCCATTTTGCAAATAATAAAAAATAAAGACCAAGGTATAGAAACTGAGATGTAGTCCTGAGTCCAAACAAAGACGTTTGGTCTCAGCCACTGTACTGCGCTAGTGACAAACCACCAGCAGTTTCACAACCACCAAGTCTGTCCCCTTCAGCAAACACCAATGACTCTAGAGCATGCTACTAAAGGCCTCACAGTGGTAGAATTCATTACTTTGTACATTTACCGGCCTCTGAAGCCTAGCTCGTATTTTCGGACTCTGAAACTTGGTATTTTTCAGCAATCGTCCGAAGAGCAAACTCTTCCTTGCGGGGTAGGCTCACAGTGAGTTGCCGCCAAGGCAGACACCCCACACCGTGGGGCCGGGTTATTGATTTACAGCGAGGCATGGAAGTGTCCATCCCTCGGGCCGGCACGCTCCTGTCAGCATGTCCAGCACTTACCTCTCGGCAGCCACGGAAAGACAGATTGTTCTTGGCAAGCAGCTTGGTCGATGTGGCCCAATGATGAATGTTTCTCGTAGAAGTGGAACATTTTTGGACTCCTCTAGGCTAGCACGACTCACCTGTTACCAAGATAGCAAAACTTTTCCAATGGGGCATAGAGGGCTTGAGGTTCACTGGCCTTTTGTTTGGGGCCTTGCTGGATTAGGTGCTGACGATCACCTTTCTCTGGTCCGTTCCCTTTTTGCTGTAATTCTAATGCATGATCAGCCCTTAAAGTCAAGTCTTTGGGCCTAAATTGGCTATTTTGTGATTGTGTTTTCAGATGCTACTTTTTGGTCAACATTCTCAAGATCTGACATAATTACCATGTAGTATTTTTATACTGAATTGTAATTATGATTAGTTTTCTTAATAGCAAAGACCAAGTCTTATTCATTAGTCTTTGTATTCTCCAGAGTAAGTTTACTGCCCAGTGTGTAGCCTGAGCTCTGTGGATGTCTATTAAACCCGGCATGGGAAAGGGATAAATAAATCAAAGTGACAGTGATTTTCTTTACCTGAGACAGCTACAGGGGACTTTGTTTGTTTTTTGATAATCTGTCTTTTTCAAAACCTCTGTAATGAACCATATTTTAGAAATAAAAGCAATTGTTCAAGAACTGTGAACTTGCATACCCTAGAAGACATGTTGACTATTAAGTCCAATATTTTCCATGTGATATTTCACTGAAATATCGCTTCAGTTTTATATAATTAATTAAGAAATAATTAAGCAAACAGGATTCATTTAACATAAATGTTTCAGAAAGCCTTGCTTTAGTGTTTTTAATTTAACATATAGCAATACTTGCTGTAAACTCTTTGAAGCAGGATGAATGGCTCAGTGCAACCCTTGCAGAGGGATTTCTAGATGCAGTTTCTTCAGATATATGGTTTACTATTCAATAGTGCACCTGTCGGAGCCCACTTAGAATTGTTTCTTCTAACAGTCCAACATTTGAGCCTTTCATGGTTAGTCATGAGAGTTCTTCTTTCTTTTTCTGACCTAGGAGCTGTGAAGGAAGAAATATCAGATATAGAACATGCAGTAACGCTGTAAGTATGAGGTGCTTTGATTGCAAAGATGTATTTTCTTAAACCTTGGAAAGTGTTAGGAAGTTTTGTGCATCCTGTATCGATCGTATTTCCCTAAGAGTATTTATCTCATATTGTATTGGTTATGCAGTCATTTTAAGATTCCGCAATATAAACTTTTGATCATTGAACCAGATTGAAACTAAGTAGACTATTTCAAAACAACGACTCTGTTTCCGTCTGTTTGCTGTCTTTTTACACAGAGGTCTCCTAAGAAATGAGTCAGAGGAATGATAAAGGGAACAGCACCTGGGGTACGGTGGCATATGCACTAGGTAATCAAACCAAGATCGGACGGATTCATTCACTTCTCTGCCAATGTAATACCTGGTGCCCACCATGCAAGGCACCACGCCACCCCAGGGCAGAAGACGCGGCCACGGTCTTGGTCACTGTAACACTGAGGAGAGAGGGAAGGTCGCCGTTACGATGGCCGTGTTTCAGGGCAAAATGTGGCAAAAGGCACAGAGGAGCAAAGCTGCTCCTAGACTGAAGCAGAGGAACTGAAGGTGCCAAGGAAAGGTTTGAAGTGGGGCTCAGAGGGCAAGCCTGGGCCCGTTAGCTGTGGGGGAGTCAGTCTGAACCGTGGAGACACAACAGGCAGCTTCACAAGCAGGAATGCTTAGGTGTGTTCTGAACACTGATTTCAGTAAATTGTGCGGCATAAAGTGCAAGAATTGAAAAGCATTTTAAGGTTATATGAGGCATGATCAAAATATATGTCAATGTTAAATTTTTAAAAACATTTATTACAGTAAAAGATATGTTGCCATTACCCCCTCAAAATATTGCTCCTTGCTGTGAACATCCTTTTGCCATTTTCTGAAGCAGTTCTGGAGGTTGTCTTTCACAAGTGTTTTATGAGATGTGATGCCCACGGCCATCCACCAGAAGGACAGCTCGTAAAACATGAAGGTGAGCCCTCATCCCCTCACCCACTGGGTCTGGCACCGTGCAACTCCCAGCTCTTCCCTCCACGTCAAAATGGCTATGAAGGGCAAACATTCTGAATCAATTCAGGACGCCGAGGCAGCCAGGAGAGTGCAACTCAAGGTACTTATGAAAGGACGTCTGTATTGCTTCAGGAAGTGGCAGGAATGGTGGCATAAGTCTATTCAAAGGGGAAAGGGTTTTGAGACGGATTAAGGGCAAACTGTCTTTCACTGTAATACAGTTTTATATATTTATATATCTGCCATATCTTTTGATCTCACCACATATCGGCATATGACAAAGAGATCTGAATATAGTCTTCCAAATTTACGCTGCTCCCATGAATGATGGGAGTCCCGAACGTGTGATATGGACATTCACTTTAGAAAGTGTCATCATTCTATAGTGTATGAGGGCTGCGCTGGAAAAGGGGATGCAGAACAAGAAGGGATGAAGGCTTAAATCAGGAGGGAAGAGTCAAGAGGGATCAAAATTACTGTCACTTCATGGCTTAACAAGCATTTGAAATTAGTGCTGTGTTGAAGTAGGAATAAAGGACACATAGAGGCATATGCATGTTTAGACCTTTTGTACTTCTTAGTCTTTTTGTTCAAGAAGTTCTTTCCTCAATATTTGCATGATTGGCATTTTTGTTATTCCAGTCTCAGATCAAATCTCCCCTCCTAAAGTAATTTCCCTGACCACCTCACATGATTCAGTTGTCTTACTGCCCAACCCCTCCCTCAAAATATTTTTTCACTCCCTATTTTCTTGACAACATTTCTTTCTAGCAAAAGTTGTATCATTTGGCTATTCTGTTTTCTGTCTTCCTCCTTTAAAATATAAACTCTATGAAAGCAAGAGCCTCACTAATTTTGGTTACCCTAGTCCCTAGAACTGTTGCCTAACACTTATTAAGCACACAGTAGTTGTTTGCTGAATCAGAATGAAAGTTCATGCTTCTAGAAGACTGGTTAATGCCATTATCAGAATAATACAATTAGGAGAAGTTTTTGGAGAATAAAATTTTTGTTGAGTTTCTACATTGAAATAGAAAAGAATGTACAGTCAGATAAGCCACAAAAGACATTATAAAAGAGGGAATTCCTAAAAGATGTTCGGTGGGAAAAATATTGCCAAGTGGTTGAAGACTGAAAATAAAACAAAACCAATAGGAGAGCAATTTCTGCTGGGCATTAGGAACAAAATTAAGGCTAGAGGCAATAAAAAGTGTGTTAACTAAAGGTGGAAGCCAGACGTGGTGGCACACGCCTGTAATCCCAGCACTTGGGAGGCTGAGGCAGGAGGATCGCTGTGAGTTGGAGACCAGCCTGGGCTACACAGTGAGTTCCAGAGCATCCTGAACTACATAGTGAAACCCTATCTCAAAAAGCAAACAAACAAACAAAAACAAAGAAAAAAAGATGCAATGGAAGCTTAGGGTACTGGTCTCAGTCCATTTCTCTCTTGCTATAGCCAAATGCTACAGGCTGAGCCATTTATAAATATGAGAAGTCTGTTTGACAACACTTGATTCTGGAAGCAAAGAGGTCCAGGAGCGTAGCACAAACCTGGGAAGGTCCCCTGTGCTCCACTGTGACATGGTGGAAGGGCAGAGTAGGGACAAGATGAAGAATGAAGCCAGCTCATCCTTTTTACCAGGAACCCACCCCGCCTCCACCAACCCACTTCCGGAACCGCGCCATTGCTCCTGTGAGGGCGGAGACCCAGGCCTGGCGCTTGTCCAAGGCCCACCTCTTAACACCATTGGAATGGCTACTAGATTTCACTGTGAGTCCTGAAGGGATATTCAAACCACTGTTTTGATAAAGGTTTTAACAGAGAGGCTTCATTTGTAGAATCTTAGAAGGGTTCATGCTTGTTGTTGTTGTTGTTGTTAGTGGTGGTGGTGGTGGTGGTGTGTGTTTGTGTGTATACGATGTAGGACCCCTGAGAGAAGAGCTCACCTGAAGAGAAGTTGATGGTGTGAGGAGGAAAGGGCACCCTCAGGGCCATGCCACAGTCACAGAGAAGGCCGCAGGTGACAAGAAGAAGAGTAACCTCAATCAAGGGAAAAGCTATACATGTCCTGCTTGGAAGAGAGAAGCAAGCTGGACATCAGGAAGTGAGCAGGAAGGCCTGGAACAGCACCGGAGAAGCTGGGAGGGGGCAGGCAAAGCAGGAAAGAAGGTTCCTGGGCAGCAACGGAGCTGCTGGCTGGGATGAGAAAGGTTGGTCTCACGGAGAATGTAGCCAGCAGGGTCTGAGCCTGAGCAGATGCACTGAGAGATGCTGAAGCCAGGGTCAGGAAGTGAGCATTGGAGGGGACCGAAGGCCAAAGTCCAGATGAAATGAGAGACTAAATTGAATGGAAAGGATCACACATGCTTTGTCATGCCTAACTTGAGTACCAGGAGCTAGGAGGTATGATGACGGGGAATAAGCATAATTGCTCAATGGAAATTTTCACGTCGTTCATTTGTCTACTTCTGTTCAGGATACTGGACCCTGGACAATACAGCTTGTTTGGTTTGCCAGCTTGTTTGGCCTGAAAATCTATCACCAGATATTGTATATCAGTGCGTGAAAGTCGGAATCCCCCTAATGCTTACATAGTTCTGTGGGTTCTTACTGTTTCTAGCAGTTCCAGTAAGACTGTTTTCATTCTTGAGGACATAGCTCATCTAATCTTTTCCATATTATAGTTATCTACTCTTCTGTAAAGAAACAGCAAGAACCCACCTCTTGAAAGAGAAGACGAAGGATGCTACTGGGAAAAACAGTATTTGTGACTAGCTAATCAGTCAAGTAGGCCATTTAATCTGGGAGATTTAACCACAGCTGAGTGAATTCAAGAAGACCCCCCCAAAAAGGTCTCTGTAGCTCACTTCTGCATGTTTACTCATATGAAACCTCAAATTTGATCTCCTATTTATTAATTTGACATTTCACCTGACTTCCAAATTATGTAGAGAACTGTTCCATTGCTTATAAGCTTTTTCCTTCACTTCCAAGCTCCACAGTTGTTGACACTTAGCAAACAGTGACTGTAATTAGCAACATAACGGCCAGGAGGTGCTTGGAATAGCTTTTGGTGTTCTTAAATTCTTTCCTCTCCTCACATGGCCCCACTGTAATGTTTTGCTGTTCTTAAAACAAAAATATTCATGAAGCAAGAGAATTGTTCTCAGCTTTGGATAAACTGGTGAACAAAGCCCAGTTCTGCTCAAATTTTCATTCTAATGAAGAAAAACGAATATATACATATGCAAGCATGCTGTTTGAAAGGAAAATATATGAAGTAGTGGTCAGTGCCATGCTGAGAATTATTCGCTTCGGATCTGAATAGTCAGGGAAGGCTGCTTGAGCAACGCCATGGGGACGGTGGGGAGAAAGCACAGGCGAGAATGTCCATGATATCCACGAAGAGCAATCAGCACAGAGGGAACAGGCGGGGCAAAACAATGTGGTGAGTGCAGGCGAGCGTGAAAACAGCGTCTGGAGCCGCGATGGCGAACCTCTCAGAAACAGGACCAGACTGCAGCCCAAGCCCACTTATTTATCGCAAGGTGCCAACACTGCAGATACACCTGAGTGTTGAGGATTCAGTTTAGAAAACACAACTCTGCACTCACATCTTCTGTCTTAACAGGAGAACACAATAATGCACTACAGGTTCGCCAGTCTGCCAGATGAGGGGGAGACTATTGGGAGATAAAAAAAATAAAATTGAAGATGGGCAAGAGCTCGGCTGTTCAGGATGTTAGGAGGTGTTTGGACTGTATTTTAAGTACAAAGTGAATCAACTGAGGAATGTTAGGCAGGGAAAATAGAATCTGACCTACACTTTAAAAGATATGGGTAACTGCAGGTCACTGGGGAATGGCGGGAAGACGGTGAAACAGAAAGGCCCACTGAGAGAGCTGCAATTCCAGGAGAGTGTACATGCTGGTTGGGACTAGAGCAGCACTGCGGGGAAGACTTGGGAATTTTAAACATGGGGTATCTTCTCCTAAGACACTTTACCT